TTTTTTAAACGGCGATTACTACTCCTTTCGGTATGTTTGAGTTCACCCGAATGCCTTTCGGGCTGAGGAACTCAGCGCAAACGTTTCAGAGATTCATCAACGAAGTATATTGATGATCTACTGGTTGCAAGTGAGAGTGAAGAACAACATTTAAAGGATCTACGGGTACTTTTCGAACGTTTGTCTGAGTATGGTTTGAACGTCAAACCAAGCAAATGCATTTTTGGTGTTCCAAGTATAGATTTTTTAGGACATTGTTAATCTGAGGCAGGGATACAGCCTTCTGTAAACAGAGTAGAAGCGATTCGCAATTTTGAACGACCGAAGTCAATAAAACAAGCGCAAAAGTTTATTGGTATGGTTAACTATTACCATAGATATATTTCAAAATTAGCTGAGTTTACTGGAGTTATATATGATTTAATTAATAAAACAAGTAAAAAGCGAGACAAAATTTTGGTTTGGGATGACAAATCCATTAAAGCTTTTGAATGCATTAAAGAGAAGTTTGCATCTAAGATTTTGCTAAATCATTTTAGTAAAGATGCAAAATTGTCTTTAACGGTAGATGCATCCAATACAGCAATTGGTGGTGTCATACAGCAGCATTTCAATAATAAGTCTGAACCACTTGCGTTCTTTTCAAAGAAACTCTCTCCAGCAGAAATGAAACATAGTGCTTTTGACAGGGAACTTTTAGCAATTTATTTGAATATTAAACATTTTCGGTATTTATTAGAAGGAAGACAGTTTACGGTTTTTACTGACCACAAACCCTTGATTTTTGTTCTAAATTCCAAAACTGAGCGTAGTCCAAGACAGACAAGGCATCTTGAGTTTATTGCACAGTTTACTAGTGACATACAGTATATTAAAGGACAGACTAACATTGTAGCTGACACGTTATCTCGTGCGTTTGAAATAGATGTGATTAAAAATTCAGAACTTAATTTCAAAATTTTACAGAGTGAACAGCAACAGGACAGTGAACTTAATAAACTTATTTCTGGACAAACGTTTCAAAATATTAATTTAATTAAAATTCCTATTCTAAATTTTAATATTTGGTGTGAAGTGTCAGGAGAAAGTCCTAGACCTTTCGTTCCAAATAATTTGCGCAGGACAGTGTTCGATATGTTACATGGAATTGCTCATCCTGGTACCAAGGCTACAGGCCGATTAATTGTGAAGAAGTATTATTGGCCTTGTATGAACAAGGAAATAAACATATGGTCAAAAGGATGTATAAGTTGCCAGAAATCAAAAGTTTATCGTCACACAAAATCTCCTGTGAGCACAATTCCAATTCCGAAGAGCAGATTTGAACATATACATTTAGATATTGTTGGACCGCTTCCTGTTTCAAGAGGTTACCGCTACATTTTAACAATTATGGATAGATTTACTCGTTGGCCGGAAGCATATGCTGTAAAGGATATCTCTGCACAGACAGTTGGAAATAAATTTTTTAATGAATATGTTTCGCGTTTCGGTGTGCCTTTAGAAATCACGACGGATCAGGGTACTCAATTTACGTCCAAATTATTTTCGGAACTTACTAAATTACTTGGTAGTCATCATATCACAAGTTCTTCCTATCATCCTCAAAGTAATGGTATTGTGGAACGATTCGATGAGCTACCGATTATTCTTCTTGGTTTGCGTTCAGTGTACAAAGAAGATATTGCAGCCACTCCAGCTGAAATGCTTTTTGGCTAAAATTTGCGTCTACCTGGAGAACTTGTTGTGCCAACTACAGAAAATGTTACTTCCGCCGAAATTTTAGGAAGTTTACGGGAACGTTTTAAAAACTTTAATTCAAATTTAAAACATCACAAAAACTCCGATTCAGGAATTTATGTTCCAAAAGATTTACAAACTTGCAAATTTGTTTTTATTCGCATTGTTAACAAGCATTCTCTTCAACATCCTTATGAAGGGCCTTAC